GGGGGCACTTTAGGGGGTACTTTGGTTTATCATGGGCCACTCCGACACACAGATGTAGTCGGGATTCACTAGTGTGGCCTCGAAATTTGTTCTGTTTTCATAGACTTTCCTTTTTTTAGTTTGTTTGTTTTTATGCCACCCACCTGCCATGCTAGCCGTGCACCCAGGGCACAATATCCCATAGAGGGCCTTGCCCAGTATTCTATAGGATAGGATTCAGAATGTACTCCCTTTTAGTGCTTTAGATCATGATATAGTGAAGGCTATTCTTCCTGGAGTTCAACACCAAATGCAGTAAACAAAACATGATGAAATTATACATTGATTACGTGGGCTATTTGAATCTGTCTGAAAATGTAGCTATTTTGTTTTAAAAAATTGAAAATGAAATGTTTAAGGTTAGTTGGTGCAGGTTTTGGCTTTTTTCTCTTTTGTCTGGAAGGATTCTCTGTTTCTTACATTTGATAGGACTGACATGCATGTGTGAAAGAGCTACTTTTAAAAACATCAGCAGCTAAAACATCTACTTTAGGGTATCTCAATAAACTACAAGTAATTGTTAAAACTACCATAAGACTAATTTCTTACTTAGTCTTTCAGCATTTTGATCTGCATCCTTCTGTACAAGTCTAGTACAATATGTTCTGCTGTAGAATTTTAAGACTTGTGTTGAACCATTTAACTTTTCCAGATGCACTACGGTGGCCACGGTTACTCCCACATCCTGCTGAATGTGGTTCCCATGATGCTGGCCCGGGGAATCTCTCAGGAACAGGTGGACAAGATGCTCATCCACAACCCCAGGAACTGGCTCACCTTCAAGTAAACAAACATACAAACAACAAACAACATGCTCATCCACAACCCCAGGAACTGGCTCACCTTCAAGTGAACCAACCAACCAACAAACAAACAAACAAACAAACAAATAAACAAACAAACAAACATGCTCATCCACAACCCCAGGAACTGGCTCACATTCAAGTGAAGAACTAGACAACATGGTGTTACATTTAGTGATCATCAGAACCAAACAATGTGCTTTAACTTCTAGCGAAGAACCAAACAACATGCTTTTACTAGTGCAAAGATTGGTGCTATTTATGTTTGCAATGGACAATTTTCAATGACTTTTAAAAGACTTAGTATTACTTAGAACAGAATGAATCATTGGAAGACTACAAGTTTTAAATGAATTTGCTTTAATTTCCTTGCTTGCTTGTTCATTCATTCATTCCTGTATAATGTGGTGTAATTATGATTCAGGGGTTGCTTGTGTGTAGGCAGACATTACTTGTCACTTCTTAACTTCCCATCTTCGTGTAAAATTCTTTGCCAGTTCTAGAATTGAAAGTTTCCATGTACTGTGACCACCTTTTACCTCTAGATCTGTACACCACTTTGATTTCAGGTTTCTGCTGTTAGTGAAAAGTAGTCATTTTTAAATTTTTTCGCACAATATTATATCAATTTCCAATTGTGAGCTTTTGCAGTGAATTTGCTATGATCATGATATATCAGAGAGAGAATCATGTATTGACAATCTTCGCATTCTGAATCATCTCAGGTATTCATTGAATTGTCAACATTTTACCTTCAATTAGGTAAAACCTTGTAATTTTTAAATCATTTATCAATATATTTACCTGTACCAGTTATATCTAATGTGAACATGGCATCGCAAGTAATGAATAAAGCAAATGATTGTTGGAACAAACAAAATGTCTCCCAGTACTTTTGTGAGTACTGGTTCTCCAATTTGTAGGCCTAATATAGTGTAACTTTAGTGTGGTTAGATATGTAATGGTTAAATTAATATACATGTATGTAATAAACTATATGACGTACAGATCAGAATACTTTTTGTACTCATTTTAAAATTGTAGGAACCTTTTTTTTTCAGCCCACCTTGTTTTTTTTCCGCCCGCTCACATTAGGTTTGGGGTCTGCGGAGGATGCCATCCATAAAATTTACTTGCTGTGGCCTTATTATGAGTATGAATGACATTTATGATGTTTTATTTTTGTTACCAACTGCTTTAAGCTTATAGAAGTTGGTAAAATTTGTTTTTACTTACCCTCCAAGCACTTTCTTTTGTGGAAAAAAACCCAGAGTATTTAAAAATGCACTGTGCAAAATGATATTGAGACTATTCACATCCTTCACAAATGCATTGGGCTGTTCCAAAAAATAAATATTTAGGGGGGAGGGGAAGAGGTAAAAAAACAAAATTTGGATTCTACTCTACTTCCAACCCAAAATTGCTCAAACCCTCCCTTAAGTTCCTCGTCCTCACTTGCTGGGCTCAAAACATCAATGTATTCATCTAACGAGGGGCTGTTGGGTCAAAGTAACTCTGGAGAGCTCGAACTGGAGAGATCGAACACAGCCAAGCTGAGCCAACCAACAGTCCAGGCCCACAACATTGACAGAGCTATTGTCACCTGTGAAATTTGATCCAGCTTCACCTTCAGGGGAGCGTTCTCGCCTACAGGTGCATTCATACAGGTGTAACGGATCCTGCGGAGGTATTGTATTAAACCTTGGCACAATAATGGACCCCTACCAAGGTAAGAACAACGGGGGTCCGAATCTTTCCTGTTTAATCAAGTGTAAGTGGTTTTGCAAGTCCAGTTAGAGTAAGTTAAGCAGTTGGTTTTTAAGGCCAAAGTGTGAACAGTTCATATCCAGAGAAAGAACCGAACGTGAGTCTTTTCCCAATCCCACTCCAAATTTATATAGTGAAACTTAACGAGGCAGGTGAGTCCGCCATATTAGGCTGAAAATGACAACGCCTCGTCACGATCTGTTTCTGCGGATCAAGCAGCACCTCAAAGACGAAGAAAGCAATGACCTCCGCACCTACATAGAGAGCGAAGAACTTTTGCCAGCTGGAGAGATCCAACACTTGAATCCTCAACAGATTTTGAGGAAACTGGAACAAAAGCTGAAGTTACCGAAGGGAGACCTCTCTCTACTTGTTGACCTGATGACAAAGATCGGCAGGGTCGACTTTGCGGAGGAGGCGGAGAAGATTGCTGAACAAGAGAGGGGAGGTGAGAATACATACTGTCTCTACCAAACTAATTGCACTGGCAGTAGAATAATTTGCCTTGCATGCGGGAAGTTTGTATTTGTAAATGCTACAAACTTTGTAACGGTTACTGTGCCTCACTCCCCATTTTAGTATCCAAAGGTCGGTTGTTGCCCTTAGATAGAGATTTTGGGTTCGCCTTGTTGTAAGTGGAACATTCTGTTGTAAAATACATGGTTCATGTATAACGTCAATTAGCATATAGGCTGATACATTGTAGCACACAAACTCACGCACACACATGCACACGCGTTACACACACACACACACACACACACATACACACACATACACACACACATGCACACACATACACACACATACACATGCACACACACATGCACACACACACACACACACACACACATACACACACATACACACACACATGCACACACACTCACACACACACATACACATGAAAAGGTTATTTTAGCTTTTAACTTCACTTCTTTGTGTATATTACTTAACGTTTATATATACAGCTTTTATTGACATCTCTGTTGACACAGTACAGTCCTCCAGTAGTCAGCTGAAGAGGAAGAAGGAGAACGGAGATCAGCCTCCTGTGAAGAGAAAAGTTCAACTTAGGGAGGGATCAGCAATGGAAGGTCAGAGGTCATTCCTACAGAAACAAAATACATTCCATGAGTGCATATCTCTAAATGGAGCTTCTCTCTGTATACAATGCAATGTATTGACTATTATGCTATCTTTTATCAACACCATTGTTTTCTGATGTGCAGCATTGGAAAGGTACTATTAGAAATATAATGCATCTAGAACTAGAAAGGTAATATTTTTGCAAAGCAAATGCATTAAATATTTATCTTCACATATGGTTATTCCTCTCGAAGGCTCGATTTTGTAGACTGCTGCGTACTGTCAGTTGATGTGCTAACTTATTGTACTGCTTAGCTCTCTTAGCTCTGAATTAGATATTACTGGTAACTCTTTTCCTGTTGCTTTACAGATGTTAGAAAGTACTTCATTTTCATCAAGAAAAAGGTCAGCTCAGATTGGGAGGACCTGGCCTTCTTTCTTGGGTTTCAGCAAGCAGCTATCAACAACATCGCAGGCAGGAACCCAGATGACAATTCTCGCTGTATGGACCTGTTGGAGGAATGGCTCAAGCAGAATGGAGAGAGAGCCACTATAGAGGTCCTGATGAAAGCTCTGTCTGAGGCAGAGCTACAGAGTACTGTGGATGAACTGAAGAAAAAATATCCAGGTAAGGATGGATGAATACATGAAGAGGGGGATTGTTTTGTGCTCTTCTATCACTACAGCTAGATCTGTTGTTTCATTTCAAACTAAGAGAGCAGCATGAATAAGAAAGTTTTTATCTCCATTTTATTTGCAGTCATTCTTTGTCTCTAAGATGATTTGAGTACACCTGGTATAACCTTTCCACCCTTTTGTATCCACCTCCAGAACTGCACTGTTCAGATCCAGTCCTTCCTGTGCAACTACAGCTGGGCCTGGCACCACAAACATCTGAACAAATCAAAGCAAGCCTCTGGAAACTGGCGCAGGAGCTGTTTACTGCAGAGGTGTTAATGGATGACGATCGCCGCAGGAAAGCAGAACAGGTCTTGCTGTCATACAAGGCTTTTCTAACAGGTCTCCTTAGTGGATCTGTCATCCTCCTCCTGACGTTCCTGCGCCAGACTGATGTGGACAGGTTCTACCACAACCACTACAGGGTGGGGGAGGGAACCCTGTCTCAACAACTCTCACACATCCTCATCTCAGACGACCTACAGGACAAGGTCAAGGGCGCCCAGCTGATTGTGAGGCTCCAGGTGAAGCATGAAGACTATGTGCGAGTACGAGACCGACTGGGGCAAGGTGAGAACTTCATTTGGCAACTCATATGATATTAGTTTGGCAGACAGATGACTACATACATTTGTCAATAATTGATTAATCTAAACACAGAATCTGCCAACATGAAAATTAATTTTCTAAAATATCTGATACTTTTGCTGTGGCCATATATTGTTGTAGTTTGGCAGACAGATTACTTTATCTGAAAGGAGCTACATTTGCCAGTAATGAATTGATTAATCTAAAAAATCTCATAACAGTAACATGACAGTAAAATGTTTATAAAAAATATATGATACTGTAGTGCTATTAAACTCTATGATTCCTAATGAACAGGACTGGACCGTACCACTTCTGTGGACAACCTGCTGGCCCTGCCACCCTCCAGCAGGCATGTGGACCATTCCAGCCTGAGAGGCCTAGACTTGGCTGTGGTGAGTACAGACAGGACTGAAGATGTCCCAGCACTGAACTTCACAGCCAAACAGGTACAGACAGCCATGCACACAAGTAAGGAGAAATCACAACAACAAGTCAGACGTTTGGAAGCTGAGCACAGGGAACAGTTACGCTTAGCCAAGGAACAGACCAAAGAGGTGAACGTTCAGCTTGAGACGATGCAGGGGCAGGTGGAGACAGGTAGGATTGGAGTAGATGCCATGATGAGGGAGGTAAAGATGCTGAGAGAGAAAAATGAGAAAGCAGAGAAAATCCTCCTGGAACAAAAGGCAGAAATGAATGAGGAAATCCAGCAGCTTCAGGAGTCCAACAAGAGCCTGGAGGTCAGAATAGAGGAGCTGCTGACTGCCAAGCAACCAGTGGCTAGTGGAAGTCAGCAGAAAGATCCAGGGAAGGAGAAATCACAACAACAAGTCAGGCATTTGGAAGATCAGCTGCAGACAATGAGGGAACAGATGCACACAGCCAGAGAACAGACTGATGACATGGTGCGCAGGCTGACCAATGAGACTGCCAGGCTAAAAGAGAAAGACGTGGAGGTACAGAAAATCCTTATGGAAGAAAAGGAGGAAAACAAGAGGTTAAGTGAGGCCAACAAGAGCATGGCAGATACAATAGAGGCACTGATGTATGCTTTACACACAGCAAAGCCAAAGGCTGGTGATCAGGGGAAGGATCCAGGGAAAGAGGAAGACCCAGGGAAGGACCCAGGGAAGGACCTAGGGAAAGAGGAAGACCCAGGGAAGGACCCAAGGAAAGAGGAAGACCCAGGGAAGGACCCAGGGAAAGAGGAAGACCTAGGGAAGGACCCTAGGAAAGAGGAAGACCCAGGGAAGGACCTAAGGAAAGAGGAAGACCCAGGGAAGGACCCAAGGAAAGAGGAAGACCCAGGGAAGGGCCCAGGGAAAGAGGAAGACCCAGGGAAGGACCCTAGGAAAGAGGAAGACCCAGGGAAGGATCCAATGAAAGAGGAAGACCCAGGGAAGGACTCAGGGAAAGAGGAAGACCCAGGGAAGGATCCAGTGAAAGAGGAAGACCCAGGGAAGGACCCAGGGAAAGAGGAAGACACAGGAAAGGACCCAGGGAAAGAGGAAGACACAGGGAATGACCCAAGGAAAGAGGAAGACCCAGGGAAGGATCCAGGGAAAGAGGAAGACCCAGGGAAGGACCCAGGGAAGGAGGAAGACCCAGGGAAGGACCCAGGGAAGAACCCAGGGAAGAACCCAGGGAAAGAGGAAGACCCAGGGAAGGACCTAGGGAAGATGGAAGACCCAGGAAAGGACCCTAGGAAAGAAGAACACCTAGGGAAGGACCCAGGGAAAGATTTTTTGGGTAAGTCTACAGCAACAAATACAGGCCAAGTCATACTTTCAGGGGTTAAAGGGTTCAGCTCAACTGGAGTGGATTGGCATGGGTGAAGAAAGTCAGCTTTGGGGGAAGGGGACCAGATAGGGGGTGATTTGTAAATCATTTGGGAGTAGCTGTCTTGAAGCACAACAAGGTTTACATTGTCATTGCTGATTGTGGGAACAGCAGAGTGGATGGTGTTTACATCTGTATATCAGAGAGTTCACAACAACTCTGCCAGAGGAAACTGGTGATAAGTTTAGATAACCATACGATGTTGCTGTAGTTAATCATCAGTGTTCGAAATACCTGTCTGCAGTCTGCAATCTGCAGATAGGTTTTCAATATTGCAGAAGAAAAATTTATACAATCTGCAATATTGCAGCAGGAAAAATTGGCACTTGGGATCTGGTGCTCTTGCCCACAAGTACAGACAACACTTAAGCTCCTGTTCTGAAACAGGAGCTTCTTCACTACTATAGTAATTTACATGAACCTTGTCTTGACTTATTTCTTTTGTTTCCTTTTGGACTTCCAAAAATTTGTCTTCTCTAATTTGCATATTAATCAATAGTTCATGCTTATAAACTTGCAAGATTGTAGTATAGAGGCTTGTGTATTTGCAGAAAGTATTTCCAAATTGCAGAACAAAATTTTGACTCTTCTGCAATATTGCAGAGCACTGAAAAAAAGTATTTCGACCACTGATCATAGATAGAAATGACAGCCTGTGGGTGGTGGGTGATGATCATGTAGTGCAGTATTCCAGGGAAGGCACCTGTTTGGCCACAACAGATCTGCCATAATGTCAAATACTGCCGTAGCATAATCTATGGCAACAGAAGAGAACAAGAAATAGCCATGCATTCAAGTACCAGAGTTATCAACCAAGGTTTGCGGTGTTCAAGAATTCATTCTTTCCCAGAACTATCGCAGAGTGGAACTCACTGTCACCAAGTACAGTAGGGGCATTGTCAATAGATAGCTTTAAACAATGTCTAGAGCTACAAGTTCAAGGGTTAGGTGTAACAAGTCGATCGGTGTAATATAGCCAGCTGCCGCCGCGCCGCGTGCCTGCGAAGCTGGTGTGTTACGCCGACAGGCGGTTATACCGGCTATACAGATACAGATACAGAACAGAACAGGTGATTGTTACACAGTATGATGGGCAGAACGGTCGACTTCGAGTATTTAACACAAGAAATACAGTCACAAAACTCCTAAAACTATTGGGTTTGACTTCTTGTTTCTTTGTTTAGAGATGTTAAGAGAAGTGTTAGTTTTCTTTTCATCAGTTACATGTCAAAGTTAGGGAGGCTACATCAAAGAGTTCAACAAGGTTCTTCTCTAACAATGTTGAGGTTGTTGAAACAGAGACTAATTACTGAGAACATTCTACAAGGTTGCTCAATTGCAGCTACGTTTCCCCCAGCAGGTTGTGAGGAGATGGACCTGGACACGTTCTACATGGCTGTGGAGGAAGGTGACGTGCAGACGTTGAGGAGGGGGCTGGACGCTGGGGTGGACCTCAGGGTCAAGAGATACTGGCAGGGCTCGGTAAGTGAACTGATAGTTCACGCAAGATTACAGACTTGTAGTCCAACCTAAGGCTTGTGTTGTTCCATTTCCCACATCTGAATCTGTGTAGACATTACCTGAAAGTTTCCTGTTAATATATTTTTGTTAGATGCATCACATTATGTTAAGTGTTATACTGGTGATAATTTGCTTGGGCGTGTCACTACTGTTTACTGTTATTATTATTCATATGTTGAAAAAGTAGTTCATGATGAACACCCATTGCTCAAATGATCGGAAACTGAATTTGTAAACCGTTTTGACAACCAAACTAAAGGTGCAATAACTGTTCTGCTAAAGCAGTATGTAATTATTAACAGGTGGACAGACGAGGGGCAAGGCGAGGGGCGAGGTAAGTAGAAATAACTTCTCTTGACCTTCAATAAACGTATTGCTCACGTACAGTCACTTTGTAACCGGTTATCATCCCAACTGTTGTTCTATCCAGGGTCACCAGACGTCCCTGCATGTGGCCAGCAGGCACGGGCAGACTGAAGTGGCGGCATTGCTGATCAAACACGGTGCCGACCTGGAGGCGAGGGACAAGGTAAGTAGAAATAACTCAGTCCTGACTTCTCCGGACCTGAACCTTGACAGTGTGACTCGTGGTTCCCTTGTCATGTCTCCATTCTGAGTGATATTATCTATGGCAATCACTCGTGATCTTTATTTGTAATCAGATACAGATTCATGTACAGATACAGATTCACGGTACAGATATACAGACTTTCCGAGTATGATGACCGTGTCAGTCCCTACACCTGAGTGAGGGTCACAGTTGACACGGTAGCCTTCGCATGGATTTGTTTAAGGTGGATAACAGGTTGCGAATCTGAGACCCACACACTTAGGCATCCGTCTTCCCCAGCGGATCCATCGAGGGAGACGTGCTGGTTCCGGTTGGGATGCTTGCAGCGAGCTGCATAACTCAGTCCTGACTTCTCCTTATTAGTACCAAAGTGCTGTATTATAACTTTAAGATGCCAAATTAGCTACAGCTACTATGCAAACAATGTACTCAGTAGGAATAGCATAAAGAAACAAGAGTTTCACAATCTCATACCTTCGCCAAATCATGTTTCGAACTGACAGATTATACATTCTTCTCATTGATTACGCAAATAAGAGCCTCATTTGCATATACTATATGAGGGCCTGCATGCCCTTTTTCGTTAACCGTTATGGGCTATTTTAATTTACCGTTAATCGTTGCCGGCCCGCTCTAATTCAACGTTAAGCGTTATCAGTATATTCCTCGTGAAGCGTTATGGGTCGTTTTAATTCAACGTAAAACGTTATTTGTCATCCTAAATTCAGCGTTAAGCGTTAATGAAGAATTCTTCGTTACGCCTAATTTTGCCTTTCAAAGTACAGGAAAATGCGTCATTGAAGGTTTAAAAATACAAAATTTCCCGGAGGAGAATGCCCCCGGACCCCCTACATTACTCGCCTCGACTCGCGCTTCTGCGCTCGGTCCCTTCGGCTCTAGCCAGAACCAGTTTTCCCTTCAATTTCCGGAAGTTTGCGGAGAGTTACAGAATTTTTTAATGAATCTGTCAACCTTGACAGGCAAATTAACAAAAATCTTGAGTAAAATATGAAAACATCAGAAGGACCGACAAACACTCTCAACACCATGATTTGCCTCTCAAAATGCGGGAAATTGCGTTTTTGAAGGCTTAAAAATCCTAAATTTCCCGGGGGAGCATTCCCCCGGACCCCCCTCTCAAAATCCATCGGTAAAACTGGGCAGACTGAAAAAATGCAAGCTGGCCGACGTCGACTCGGACACCCCGGTATTTGTGGACGCACTCGGGGACCAGGGCAGGTGGGAAACACAGGGAACACATACCTTTAATGCGTGCTTCATTACATGTAAGGTGTATACGTAATTTTGTCAGTGATCACCTTTTCTCACAAAGCGAGATACCAAATCCAGTGCAGCTCGAAAAAAAAGCCTGTCAATTTACCGTTAAGCGTTGCCGACCGTCCTGAATTTACCGTTAAGCGTTATCGTCCCTCCTGGATTTACCGTTAATCGTTGCCAGGACCCCCCATGCAGACCCTCTATATCAGTTGATCATTTCTCCACCCAATCATGGTCATATCTTAAGAAGTAAGGGACTGTACGATATTTAGCGGGGGAGGGCCGGTCGTCTGGGGGGGAGGGTCAAGGAAAATTTTTTTTGGCTTAGGTGGAGGGTCTAGGAAAAATTTTTGGGCCTGGGGGGAGGGTCAAGGTAAAATATTTTTCTCCAGATCCAAAATAACTTCAGATGTTCTCTCACCAAAATTTGCCTCTCAAAGTGCGGGAAATAACGTTTTTGGTGACCTACAAATTAATTTTTCCGGAGGAAAATGCCCCGAACACGATCTACGTCTATTGGACGTATCGTAGCATCCGCGGCTCACTGAATTAGGCACCGGCGGTGTGTCAAAATACGTCCCCACCAGGCCTGCGTCTTTGGACGCCTTATTTTTGCCACAGACACTTGGTCGGATAACGGATAGCGATATTAAACTCAGAATTGTGTACCAGCTTAACAGCAAAAATGCGTTCCCAAAATACAGGAAATGGCGTTTCCAGAGGGTCTAGATTTTAAAATTTTCCCGGGGAGCAAGCCCCGATCCCCGTTGTGTTTTGTGGAAGAAGTTCGTGGAGTCGTCATGCAGTCCAATAGTCAAGATTTCCTGCCGCCGCCTCTGACGTCGCTCTTTGCCACATTCTGCATACGGCTGTTATAGGCAGATACAATGTTTTGGAATACTAGTAACGTTATATTCATATATAAAATTTCTGCAGAGTCAATACTTTTTGAGGTATTTATTTTAAAGGTAAACAAAAAAATGTGACAATTTCTCCGGCCCCACCGTGGGCGGCTTGCAAAATTTCCGGCCCCATCTCTCCCGTTCTGTCGGCAAATTCTGCCTCTCAAAGTGCGGTACATAGCGTTGTTGAGGACGACAAATTAATTTTTTTCGAGGTGTCCTCCACCCCAAAATGCAGTGCTATAAAATATACTAGTACAATGTAATTAATATATTGTTTGGACGTCCTCTACACTCCGGGCGGGCGGGAACGTCTTCCGGCCGTTGGACGTGTAAACGGCATTTTTTCTTCCAATGTATATTATTGACGTCAGGGGGAGGGTCGAGGAAAAAAAATTGAGCTGGGGGGAGGGTCAAGGAAAAAATTTTGGAGCTGGGGGGAGGGTCAAGTAAAAAAATTTTAACCCAACCCTCAGACGACTGGCCCTCCCCCCGCTAAATATCGTACAGTCCCTAAGGCTGTTCTAGCATTTTCTCATAAATTATGCAAATGAGGCCCTGATTTGAATAACTTATGCTTAGTGATGTTCACCTTCACTCAGGACTTCCAAATAAGGCAAGTATTGAATTCTCAGCAGTTACCACTATAAAATTTTATCAATTTCTCAAATAATTCTGCAAATAAAGCCTTCATGTGCATAATAAATATCTTCCCTCAAGGCCACACCAATTTCATTTCTTGGTTAACGGATTTTTCTAGAAAAATAATGGAGCGGGCGGGCGAAAAAAATAAAAATAAAAACAGGCCTAGGCATCCTATTATGGCCCAAAATGGTACGATAGGAGCCATGAAGTCAACATACCAGGCTGGTTCAAAATTTAAACAATGAATTTTAAACTTTTAATGATACCACTGCATTGAAAGATGGAATAACTCAGTAACAACTAGGAAGAAAGGGACTGTTTTCAACCGTTCAGGGCAAAATATGAGCATTTTGCAGTTGATTCTGAATTTTTATTTGCAAATCAGAAAAAAATGAAGCGGGCGAATCCGTTAACCAAGAAATTAAATTGGTGTGGCCCAAAGATGTTTAAACATTACTGTTACCATCCTACAGTTTCAGAACGAATCTGCTAGGGGGCCCATACTTTGGCGTTCAAACAACCCGAAAGTGTGCCGTGAGCCGTCACATTTGTTTCTCACACGTAACCACAGCAATTTGGCGTAATCTGTAGGGTCCATTTGAAACAAGTGACTGTGTATTATAAACTCAATATCATGGATTCATAGGAGTAGGAGTTTCAGGAACCTTTGTTGATGTACACAACTTTAACTACATGTAATGCCTCTTACCCATGTGATAACTGCTGTCCGTGTTGAACCCATCCCTGCTGACCCTGGACTTCACATTTCTGGTGTTTTTCTGTACAGGTCGGACGGACACCTTCTGATGTAGCGCGTGACGAGGAGACTCGGCATCTCCTACAGGTGAATAGTATTGTCATGGATAATGTGACTGGGGTATTGTTCTGGTGCTGGTGCTACGTTACATGTATGAATTAAAATAATTCCAGTATTATTGCTTAAACCTGTTGATTAAGATGACCAAGTTTATGAAGTTATATATATACACTCCTTGGTTATTTTACCTCCCACTAAAACCTGCAAAAGGAAGCAACACAAGAGAAGTTGCACAGCGAGCTGCAGAAGCCTGGCAGAGTGAAGACCGACAGGTGTAAGGTGTCGTTGTTTGGGATGGCGGGAGCAGGAAAGTCCACACTCAAGATAAGTTTTCAAAGGGTAAGTAGGAACTTCGCTTGTTCCAGAAAGCCTCAAGCGCGTTTTACGAAACAAAATGAATCCTTGATAAATAGATACTGAATTTCTTAAGCTAGGCCACAAATTTTATCAAAGATGTCCAAATCGAACAATCTAATGCTGTCCAACAGGGCACCGTGCCAGCACTGCTCCAAGGACTGAGAAAATCGTCGTCAGCCAAGGAGCTTTACGACCCCACCCCAGGGGTGGATGTTGGGACGTTCCATATTCCAGGGGTGGGGGAGGTCAGCCTGTGGGATTTTGCTGGGCAGTCGGAGTACGCGGTAACCCACAGCATGTTCATGGATGCAGAGAACACCATCTCCATTGTGCTGTACAACATCATGGACGACACCAAAGAACAAGACGTAAACAGCACTGAATCAGCATTTAACATAATTGCCATACACAACTGTTAATCATGCAATTATGCAATAGGCAATAGGTAATGCCAATGAATAGAATATTTACCTCGCCAAGAAGGCGTTTGTGTGTGTGTCTGTATACATGATAACTCGAGAAGGCTTAAATGGATTGTCTTGATATATAATTATAGATGAATAGGTCTTGATGAGACCTAGAAGCTATTAGATTTTGAGCCCCCTGGCGGCTTTCCAAGGTACTCCAGCAGAACTTCTGGTTTTGATATAATCTAGACAAGCTGGGGGCACGAAATTTGGTAGGTAGCTCTTGTGCAAAGGAACTCTTGTGCAAGGGAAGAAGTGACATGAGTTTGGTCCCTCTAGAACTGCAGGGGCATTTGTTGAAAAATGTTGAAGCTTCAAGGAGGATAACTCAAGAACCGGTTGAGAAATCATCATGATTTTTGGTATGTAGGTAGCTTATGTGATGCTTGACATAATTATGCAAATAAGGATATAATTTGCAAATTGAGGAAATTCTCTAAAACCGCTGTGTTCCATGATAAGACGCACCAAACATATGACATACGTAATTGAGAACAGCTGGACATCAGCAGATATCAATTATGTAAATGAAGGCCTAATTTGCATAATTAATGAGAAAATTTGGGAATTCCATAGTGG